CATTACACTACATTCATTACATTACACTACATTACACTACATTACATTCATTGCATTCATAGTCGTCCACAAAACTCAGCCATTGTTGATTTGGCGTGGGCGCGGATTGCGTTGACCTGCCGGCAAGCTAGAATCCGGCAAACATGTTCTACCTTTTTGAAGGCATTCAGCATGAGCTTGATGAAATGGAAGACCACTGTCAGGTGGTCCATTTGGCAGCGCCGTTTGCTCTTACGTATCCAGCTCTGACTTTGAGCCAGCAGCCAGGTGGATTCAGTTTTGACGGACTGGCTGCCAGCGCCCCTTGCAAAAGCAATGCCCCCACAACTTGCCTCTTGCCGTACGTGAAGAGCAATCTAATTTGACTCAAAACGTATAACTGTTTAGTTCGACTGCTGGGCAGGGTAGTGCCAAAGACTCATGTCAACAAGTCAGCACACAAGGCGTAGTTGCTCAAGGCTCCCCACCCCAAACAAGGCTGATCTTCCCGAAGAAGTCACGGGCTTCAACCCATGTGAAGCCTGGACAAAGAATAGAAACATGCTCAGAGTGAGAATCCGAAAAACGTCGGCGTCTGCTAAATTGTTTGTTGATCAGTTTGTGATAATGCCCAACCCAAATGTGCTGAAGGCTGAGTTTGAACAATGACAACTCGCAAATTCATGCAAGATTTGCATTACAGTATTTACTTATCGTGATTCAGCCTTTGTGGACCTTGTGCCAATGGTGCCAAGAATACAGTGTCCAAATGCCTCCAGTGATAGAGGCATACAAGGTGTGCGTCGATAGCTCAAGACCTCCAAACCGCTCAGGAAAGAAACCTGGCAACGAGTCGGGCGAGGACTCAAGCTGCAGTGTGGCAGAAGGATTTACGCAGATTCCGCCGTATCAGGACAGCTGCAGCTTGCTCGCCCTGGCCTAGCATCTCTTCAATGTGCTTCTGCGAAAGATTTGTATTTTCTGGATTCGAGAGGAACTCGGTGGTGATGTCGGTGAATATCAGCCCAAACCTTAGCCCGGCCCAGTCACCAATGAGAATGATTCTGAAAGAACCTGACTCAGTTGTGGCTTCACACACGAGGTTTTGCTCGAGCCACGTGTGGCGAAAAATGATTTGCATGGCAAGAAACACAAAGATGATGAGCATCAGGAGCACTGCTGACCATGCCTTGGTGCATAGTGAAGACTCCGGAATTTGCTCGTCTCAAACAAACCGCGGAGGTCTAGCACTTATATATATATATAAGTGCAAAACTTCCAGACCATTTGAACGATCGACTGTGTCTCTCTTCCACTCGG